TTTTTTCTACACTCGGACATATATTATTTGATTTATTTTTCAAAAATTTAAAAGGAAATTTTTTACAAAATACACTGGTTTTCAAAATTATCAAATAGTTATATTAATATAAAAAAAATACTTCAAATAATATTTTAAATTTCTCATAAAATCTACAATTTTCCAGTCAATTTGTCTCAGGAGCTCTTTTTTCTTTTGAAAAATTTGAAAATTTTGAAATTTTCAAAGCACATTTTTCACAAAATACACTGGTTTTCAAAGTAATCAAATTGTAAATTAATATTAAAATTGAAAATTAATATTTTAAATAATTTATAATTCTTCATAAAGTTTACATTTGACAATTTATCTCAAGACCACTTTTTGCTCTTTGAAAATTTTAAAGTGTTTTCTAAAATTTGTATAGCTCAATTTTCACAAAATACACAAATAATCAAATTAATTGTTTATACAAATTTTAAAAAAAATAATGCTTTAAATAATTTATTCATAAAATCTACAATTTTTCGTCAAAGAGCACAAAGTTTTTTTAGTTTTTGCAAAAGTATTTGCTGTTCAATAAAGTAAAAATTTCAAAAAATTGTAATTTTGAAGTGATTTTTTATGGAGTTTTCAATTTTTCAACAAATCTAATCTTTATTTTATTTAAAGGGGCGCCCATTAATCACTTGAGGTTTTTAGGGGAGGGTAGGTTTGACAAAAAATCACAAAATATCACGTGGTGGGAGGAAAGGGTATAGTAAGATATCACGTGTATTTATTTTTTACCCAAATTTATAAAAAAAAACACAATTTTTCTCGTAACTAAAAATGCCCTTGATGTTTGGTGGGGGAGGGAGGTAGTTTTGAATGTTCTTAAAAAATCCTTAAAAAATCGATCACGTGATTAGTGGACGTCCCCTAAAATAAGGACTAAATTCCGGATTATTAGTTCATAACACATACCAAAATCATTAAAATTTTCAAAAATGTTGACAATTCAATAAAATAAAAATCTTAATCAATTGCAATAATTTTTCATAATATTTTTCATATGAGTGTATGAAATATAATTTTTATTTCATTACCAGAAAGTTTCAGCAATTTTTCTTTACTACATACACCACTAGTTATTCTAATTAGTGATGTTAATATTCTTTAATTAGATCACATTCGAATTTAGTATCTCTTGGGCAGGAAACAATGAACAAAAGAATGTTTAAATAAATAATTCGCGTTGATTAATATTCGGGTGGCCTTCTATGGAAATATATAACAATGAAGGCGAATAGTGGGGGAGCTGATAAACTTATTACGATGGTTGTTGTAGGAGAAAAATCTGAAAGATCATGATATAGTGCTAAAAATCCGAATGATCATGATATAGTGCTAAACTGCAAATCTTAGTGCGTTTTATCCTTGACTTGAAAATTGAAGCTTTTTATCTTGCTATATATTAATAAAGATATATTAGGTTGTCAAATATCTCCCTTCCGCTTTTTTGCTATTGGTTTATAATACAAAAAGGCGGAAGGGAGATATTTGACAACCTAATATATTCACAATACTTCAGTAAAACAATTAATTACCATCTGTACAAATCAATCTTAATATCTTGCCACGAATATGTTATTTCCATCATATATAATTTAGTTTTACTGTTAAGAATTTTTTAAGAGTTTTTTATTTTGTGTTATGTATTGTTATGTTATGAATTATATTATGTTATGTTATTAATATTAATATCATATATTAGTATATTTTGTATTAATATAATATGTATATTAAAATTGTATTTTTAAGTCCTCCTGGAGCTACTCTGTGGGATATACGATAAATAAATAAATAAATAAATAAGATGGTAGTTGGCTATAAATTTGTTGGATAAAATTATTTTAAGGATAATCAATCAGGCGAAACCATTTAAATTTATTAAAAATTGCAAAAAGATATGACACTTAATTTAGTGTAAGCTCCCAAAGCAAAAATGCTTTTTCTAAATTTGTGAAATGTTTATTATGAGTTTTATCGTTATTATGAGTTTTATCTTACTAAAAGTGAATTAGGCGTCAATAGTAACTATATATGAGATTTAGCCTATTAATTCGGACTGCCTCAAATTAAACAAAATACACGATTATAATTTATTTTAATTGTGGGATAATTGTTTGCGAATTTCACACAAAACTGTTTCCTTTACTTTCTTTTGCATTTCGCGTTTCTAAAATTCGACGAACGTAAAATTTATTAGTTTAAATTTAGATTTTGGCCAAAACATACATCATAGTAAAAATTGATACAGATTTTTTGTGAAAATTGTGAAAATAAATATGTTGTTTATTTGGATTTTTGGTTATTCAAAATGATCCCGGTAAGTAAAATAAATGGTTAAAGCATACTTATTCAGGACATTTCTGACATGAATTTTTATCATTTGGCAGTTCTTAAAAAAATACAAACAAAATGAAATTATGACAATCTATTTTGTTATATAGTGTAAAAATTATACACAAACACACATACATAATGCAGAGTTCTTGAAATCAGATTTTTGGTCAATATTATAAAATAAATCATTGTAGGGTTTTCCATACCAGAACTGCTAATTGATGCCATAGATTCGATGTCGGAATGTACAGAATAAGTATAGCTATCGACTTATATTTATAATATTTTTTTGAAGTAAAACTTCTTTAGGCGCGACTAGGGTGTAAATCCGTACAAATGCAACGAAAATAGCGTTACGCCCGAACTGTACGTCATTCGCTTTCGATGAAATTATTTCTATACGGGTTGATTGTGATTAGTCGTCGTGTCGAGTGAATAGAGATCTGTCGTTGTATCGACAAGGAAATCAGCATAGATAAATAAACGTTTTAAGGTTGCATGGTAGTGCAAATTTTGATTTAATAAAAAATGTCTGAATCAGAAGAATATTTTACTCCTGTACTAAACGCAAGTTTATTAAAATAATTTCTATATTATTCGTAGTTTCTAAAAATTTTTGAATAACTTCAAAAGGGAAAATATTTTTTAGGCAAGACAGATATTACAGCTGCTCAAAGAATGAGATTATATCGCCAGCGAAAAAGTAAAAAAAAAGTACAAGCAGTCAATGAATGCATGTTAATTTTGATTACATGAAGTTCTTTAAACACAATTATTACATGATGAGTGAAATTATGAAAACGATATTTTTAGGCGTTTTTTTTAACATAATTCACTGTGTGAACGAATATTATAGAATTTATTAATCAGCAATTACTTCATTTTTCTAGTGAAGGTTCAAGTCCTAAATGCTAATTACAATGACAAACCGATCATGTCGTATTTGAAGTATGACTTAAACTACATTGTTGTTTTTAAATATTATACATATTTTTAATGCAATTATAAATATATAATTTATGATTTATTATTATATAAATATGTTTAATTTTCGACACAAATAAATGTGTGCATCACGAGTGTTTTCTTCTCCTTTTTTGATGCAAAATTTTCTCTAATTTTCAACGCATGATTAACATCTTTATTGTGGCTTGACGATTTTTTTTTCACTAAAATAAGAGACCACAGAATTTCTAAAAGTGACTTTCGTCTTGCGGTTTAGATACGAAGACAATATTAAGACAGGAGATAATTGGAATGATCTTGGGATGTTAATAATTCTTGCACAAATTAAAATTTTGATAGATTTTATCACCAATTAGATGATTAATGGATCAATAGAAACAGAATCGAAAATTTCAGCGCTGTAGTAGATTATTAACTTCCCGTAGGGTAATTATAGTAATGGGCCGAAAATGAAATTTTTTGCATTTCTCGACTTTTGAAGGTTTCTGAACATTTTGGCATACCTTAGAAAAAATGGATGTGTGTGTATGTATGTCCGCATTTTTTCGGGCGCACGGATCAACCGATTTGAATGGTTTAAAAAACATTCGATCCCTATTGATAGGAAGATGTGCTGATTAGATTTTGGCAAAGGCAGGTCCAGCAGTTACGGAGATAAAGAGCTAAGAGTACAGAAAATAGAAATCGAGTTTTTGAGAGAACGGAGCATCCGATTTGAATGATCTAAATTCAATTAGTAATGATTGGGAGAAGTGTTTATTAGTTTTTGGCAAAGGCAGGCCCAGCCATTTCGAAGATACAGAGCTAAATGTGCAAAAAATGGCAGTTTTTGAGTAAACTAAGCCGTCCGGTTTGAATGATCTGAAAAAAAATTTTCTGCTTGTATTGACAAAACAGTTGCTTTTGAGGATAAAAAATTATCACATTTTTTTTTATTTTAAATATAAAATATTTTTGTAATTTTGGATTAGAAATTCAAAAAATTACCCCAGCTAAGCACAGTCTAAGCGTCACTCTGGTACAAATGTTTTCGCAAGTGCGTTTAGACTGTTTATGTACGGGAGCCACTTTTCCAATTTTGTGAAAACAACAAACTATTGAAAAATGTGAAAATGCCACCGTGCTAAGCACAGTATAAGTGAAAATGTCGCACAGAATTATTTGCAAATGCGTTTAGACTGTGACTGTACGGGAGCACTTTTTCAATTTTGTGTAAATTAGGCAACTATTTTTTTTTAATTGAATTCGAAATCGAAAATGACGATTGTTAATGTTCTGTAGATAAATTGATTTATGATTTATGATTTACATTTGATTTGCTCAGATATAACAAGATAGCAAAAATAATGAAAGTTATTAATAAGTTTGTAATAATATATTTGAAAACGTTTAAAATATCTCGAATATTTCATTACGGTGCGGAAAGTTCCAGCAATTTGCCTTAAGGCACGATTCCATACACCACTAGTTTTGAACTTATTTCTATGATGGTAGAGGGCACTTTCAAAAAATAGAAACCACCACAAATTAAATTTCTTCATTTTCATCTCCTGATTCCAAGATAAAGTAGTTACCACAAACTTGGCGATGATCAATTTCATTTTACCAACTAGTTGTGTTTTCCATCTATATTTCTTTTATCTAATTATCGTTTATCTTTTTTCCAGGATATGAGGGAAATGGAACGACGGAAGCGAGTAGAGATGATCATGAATTCGCGTCTTTTCCGCGAAGAATTGGAACGTATCCTGGACGGACAACTCAGGGAAGGCGGAGGCGGCGGAGCATCAGGACTGCTGCAACGTCTCGGGGAAATGATGGGCGTCTCTGCTGCCAGGATACCAGCATTCAAGGTAATAGAACAACGACACAGTAATAAATTAAATTAAAATTAAATTAAATAATAATTACAATAATATAAGACACCTAAATTTGTTAAAATATCATAAAACAACCTAAAATTTGTTAAATAAAATAATTATTTTGTAAAAGTATTGTAAAGCTTATTAAAATACTTATGAAATTTTTAAAAAATACTTGCAACAAACAAACTAGTTATATTTAAAAATAATCATAACTAACTAAATATAAATAAGTTTTTAGTAAATAAATTAAATAATAAATAAATAAGTAAAATAGCTAATAATTAATTAAATTATATTAAACCTATAAAATATTGACTTAAGCCTTATTATAATATTATTATACCGACGGCTTGTAAAATTAATAAATAAATAAACTAGTTGGTTTGGTATTTTGCCTTGAGGCAAGTTACATGAACTTCCCGATATGTGTAATTAATCGACTTAATCAATAAAAACTAAATTAATTTATGAGTGATTAAAAGTATCCGATTGGATTTATTACACATAATTGAAAACGAACGAACACTTTGACACGGAGTATTTTCTAATAGCAAATTTTCAAAAATCAACAATTGTTATAATTGAACCAGTTACCATAGGACTATAATGGCTTAATATGTTCGTTAAAACCAAGTACTCTATCGTTATACCAAGTAAAATCGTCCAATTTTATTTTTAACAAACGTCAAAAAAACTACTCATTTTCTCAAACTTTGATGAATTTTTAAAATTAAACTACTTGTCGTAAAGTCGTAAAGTTGTATAAGACCATAAGTTTCATAAAAAATCGACTCAAATTTTTTTTTCAACAACGAATTACAAGAAAACGGCTCGGTAGATTTTCACCTAAAACTAAGCAGTATCATTCCCATCTAATATCTTTCGAACAGTTTTTGATTTTTTAAAATCGATTGGGTAGTATGAGCTTAAATGTGGACGAAAAGTTTAACACTTTTTTTCAAATTACAAAGAAACGGCTTAGCAGATCGTCGCACAAAACTGTCAAACGATAGTCCTCAGCGAGATACATCAAATGGCTTTTAAATTTCTGAAATCGGTTCAGGCATTTTTGAGAAATCGTCGATGAAAAGTCTAATTTCGACAAATGCCAAAAAACGATACCAATTTTTGCAAACTTTGACGAATTTTCAAAGTTAGACCAATTGTCGTAGAGCCGTAGTATTTTAGTATAATCTAGAAGACTATGGTATCTACAGTCAAAAAATAATAATAAAAATCGTCGAAAAAAATTTTTTTAACACTTTATTACAAGAAAAAGGCCCGGCCGATCTCTACCAACAACTCATCAGCACGATTCTCAATCAATATCTTTCGAACGGTTTTTGAATTTTCAAGATCGATTCAGAACTGCGGGCTAAAACGTGTACGAAAAATTTTTCACTTTTCTGCTATTTACAAAGAAACAGCTTGGCTGATCGTCGCGCAAAATTCATAAACGCTAGTCCTCATCGAAATACATCGAATGGCTTTTAAATTTTGAATTCGGTCCAGCCATTTTTGAGAAAACGTCGATTTACGGCAAATAATCTGTTCACACACACATACACACATACTTTTTCCAAATTTGATCTCATTCGATTCAGAATGGCTTGAAACGTCGAGAAAACATAAAATTGGCGAATCGGATTTTTTGATGAAAACATAAACTTCTCCTTCGGGAAGTTAATAAATAAATAAGTAATAAAATAGATAATAATTAATTAAATTATATTAAACCTATAAAATATTGACTTAAGTCTTATTATAATTTATTATACCGACGGCTTGTAAAATTAATAAATAAATAAATTAATAAATAATAAATTGACACACAGTGTTACATTAACAAATGGATTTTCATTCCTGTGATTTTTTTTCAGAGTGCCAACTGTGTACTGCCAATTAACGATATTCGTGGTGTTGAAAGTATGGGTTACGCCAAAGGCGAAAAGATTCTTCGGTGCAAATTGGCTGCAGCTTTTCGACTTATGGACATGTATGGCTGGAGCCAAGGTAATAAAAGTACTTGTGCATCAACAATTATACGTATAGATCTTTGATGGCTGATAGTTCTATAAATTATATATTTTTTCCCAGGTATTGACAGTCAGATCACAGCCCGTTTAAACGCCGACCAAGAATTGTTCTTAGTTAACCCTTACGGTATGCTTTTCCACGAAGTCACTGCCAGTAGTCTCGTTAAAGTCAACATGCAAGGTGCTGTTATCGAACAAGGCACCACGAATTTTGGAATTAACCTACACGGTAAGTAAATGTTTAAAATACAGTAATATACTGCTTATCTTATAGGTCATTTTTAAAGTGTCGCTAAAGAAAGCAATGAATGTTTTTACCATTCATTTTTTTACCACTTGTTTATTAATATTATTAAAATACAACACAATTTTTTTTAAAAAAAAGTTGAAAATTGAAGAAATGGGCAGCTGATGAAATGGGGGGTCTCAAAAAATTGGCACCTCAGTCTTGACATGATTTCAGTTCTCCTAGCCATCCGAAATAAAAGAAATAAAAAGATTATTAATCTACAATGATGTCGCAATCGCCCGAACTAGCGACGAGTAAAAAATTTTTTTTTTACAAATTGGCGACTGTTTGAAAAAAAGTGTCTTTTTTTACTGTTTTTTTGTTTTGAGTTCCTCGATTTTTCTAAATATAGTAAAAATTGGAATTTAGGGATGATGCTAGTTTGGACTACTGATAGGTCTATAAACAAGACTCTCTGAACATTTCAACAGAATCGGTCGGGTAGAACTCGAGAAACCGTGTCAACAGTACTGAAAAAGTTTTGCGTGAAGTTTTTTGCTGTCAAAGTCATAAAATGATATGTAATACTTCTTTTATTCAATCTGCCATTCCTGCTTCATGCATCGGACCTTCTTCTACTTCAAAAAAACTTTTTTCTGCATTTTTCTCTTCAAATCGAGCAGTCTCGTTGGACGCCTCCTTTGAAGCGTTGGATGTACGTATTTCAGATCGTTCAATCTGAGCATTGTTTCGTCTTACGGCAAATGAATGAGTTTCTGGCCCAATTTGCATTACCATAAGGGTCATCATTTTTTGAAATCGGAAAGAAACCTTCATTGAATATGCAAACAGCAATAAATGTTGCTATTTCAATTACCCGAGATCGGGAATATTAACGAGTTTAGTGAGTCATTATTGTTCTGAGTTTCTGAACCTATACATCGAATTAATAATTCATCTGACGATAAACTGTCTTAAATTGGTCTAATGACTTCCTAATGCCTTTTGTCCGATTAGATCCTGCCAAACCAGTTTGGAGACCGGGTCAGTAAAATGCCTATATCTCCAAAAATAATTCAAAATTTCAAAAACATTCTCGTACCCATATTCTTAGATAGTCAAACTTTGAAAATATGAAATAAAAAAAAATCGATTTTTCTGAATTTCTACACTAGTATACCCCTTCTTTAAAGTCAGATACGTTCCATCAAAGTAGGCGCAATGCGAAACAGCGCTAAATGAGGCTCTCTTCACATGGAAATTTTGGGGTTAGGGGATGATGGCTAAGAAATTGGTTAGGTATTAGATTTAAAAAGTATGTTTTTTTTAGTAAAAATAAAATCAAATATTTATTAGTTAAAGCCCAAATTAATACCACAATATTATTTCTTGCAAAAATAAACAAATAAATGTTGTTCTCTTAAAAGTTCTTCAAAAACGGATAGAACAACTCTAACTTTCATTTCTTTTTACTCTTTTGAGCTTCTGTCAAAACTCGGACAATTTTCAAGAAATTCATCCAATATTTCAGTTATGATAGACTCTTACAAACGCAATCGAAAGTTTTTTTGCTCTTCCTCTAAATTACTGCTGCCAACATTTTTGTTTTTTTCTTGTTTAGTTAATTCCTTGGGCTCACCATTAGAAAGACTGCACTACTTTCTGAATCATTTTTTCGACATCTTCCACATTTACCCCTTTAAAACATGGATTAAAATAAAAAAAGCGCTAAACAGAACAGCGTTAAGCGGGGTATCACTGTACTAATTGATAATATGATTGATAATAAGTAATGAAGTCTGTTGTTTTTGGTTTTCAGATTTTCTTTTGCATTCTGCCGTCCATGCAGCAAGACCTGATGTCCGTTGTGTACTACGAGTCCAGTGTGCCCCCGTACTGGCTGTATCTGCCATCAAAGGAGGCTTAGTAGCTGTTTGCAAGAGTGCAGCACTACTTGGAGATGTTGCTTCTCACCAATACTTTGGAGGTGAATATTAAATAATAATTACAATAATTTACCATCAATTACCAATTTACCATCATTACTTAATGTTCTGTTTTTTTTTCAATAGGTGTGCAAGATGATGAAGAACGTGCACGTTTATCCAGATCTCTAGGACCAGTTAGCAAAGTTCTATTTTTGACAAATCACGGTGCAGTTTGTTGTGGTGAGACAGTGGAAGAGGCTTTTTATAATGCACAGCATGTTGTGGCTGCTTGTGAGGCTCAACTTCGGTTGATGCCTGTTGGTATCGAGAACCTCACTGTTATTCCGGAAGAAGTTAGAAAACAGGTGAATAGGGGCAAAGACTTCCTACTTAATTATCCTTATTGAATTGTTTTCTCGATTTGTTTGTAACTGATGGTTTCCTATTCCTCAGATTTATGAAGCTTCCAGACGGCCACCAGACCAGCAAGGTTCCGGATCTACTCAACAGCAGACTAATACGACAACAACAACGGAACCAGATGGAACCACTGTCATCACAACCACGACAACTACGACTACTGAAAACCATCAGCCAAATGTCCAGGACGTCAGAGATGCGCGTGTTAATGCCGCCAGGTGGCGCGTTGGAGGCTCAGAGTTTGAGGCTCTGATGCGGATGCTGGATAATGCAGGTTTGTGGGAAAAATACAGGGTATGATAGGATTAAACCCTTGGGATTCAAATATATACCTATCCATCGTTTTGTGACACGAGATGTTCGCAATTAGTAAAAGTACACAGATTGCCCTCTAGAAGCTAAACTGTAAAAGATACAAAAAAAACTTTGGGCGAAAGATGCAGAATAAGATTACAAATAAAATGATATATAAATCGATAAGTGTGTTCATAAAATTTTCTTGAGACTTCTTAGTTTTTTAAAATTTTTAACTTTCCAAAGAAGTTTATGTTTTTATAAAAAAATCCGATTCGCTAATTTTATGTTTTCTCGCCGTTTCAAGCCATTCTGAATCGAATGAGACCAAATTTGGAAAAAGTATATATATGTGTGTGTGTGTGTGTGTGTGTGAACAGATTTTTTGCCGTAAATCGACGTTTTCTCCAAAAACGGCTGGACCGATTTCAAAAATTTAAAAGCCATTCGATGCACCTCGATGAGGACTAGCGTTTCTGCGTTTTGTACGACGATCGGTCTGGCCGTTTCTTTGTAAATCGCAGAAAGTGAAAAATTTTTCGTCCACGTTTTAGCCCGCAATTCTGAATCGATTTTGAAAATTCAAAAACTGTTCGATAGATATTGGTTGGGAATTGTGCTGATTTTTTTTTGGTAAAGATCGGTCGGGCCGTTTTCTTGTAATAAAGATTATACTAAAATATTACGGCTCTACAAGTCGTTTAATTTTAAAAATTCTTCAAAGTTTGCAAAAATTAGTATCGTTTTTTTGGCATTTGTCAAAATTAGACCTTTGATCGACGTTTTCTTAAAAACGCCCGAACCAATTTCAGAAATTTAAAAGCCATTTGATGTATCTCAATGACGACTATTGTTTGTCAGTTTTGTGAGACGATCTGCCAAACCGTTTCCTTGTAATTTGAAAAAAAATGTTAAACTTTTCGTTCACATTTAAGCTCAAACTACCGAATCGATTTTAAAAGATCAAAAACTGTTCGAAAGATATTAATTGGGAATGATACTGATTAGTTTTAGGTAAAAATCTACCGAGCCGTCTTCTTGTAATTAACTGTTGAAAAAAAAATTTAAGTCGATTTTTATGGAACTGTTTTTGGCGATATATATCATACTCTCATAGAACTTACTGAAATATTGCGACCTTACCACAAGTAGTTTAATTTTAAAAATTCATCAAAGTTTGAGAAAATGAGTAGTTTTTTTGACGTTTGTTGAAATTAAAATTAGGCGATTTACTTGGTATATCGACATAGTACTTGGTCTTAATGAACATACTAAACCGTTAAAGTCTTACGGAAACTGGTTCAATTATAAAAATTATTGATTTTTGAAAATTTGCTTCTAGAAAATACTCCGAGTTAACGTGTCCACTTGGAATACTTCACTCATCACTCATAAATTAATATATTTTTTATTGATTATTATTGATTAAGTCGATTAATCATACATATCGGGAAGTCCATGTAACTTGCCTCAAGGCAAAATACCAATGCCAACTAGTTTTATTGCAACTTGCCTGTAGACCACACCATTAGGAATTCGAAGTTGCGATATATGGGAAAAGAACTAAGAATTTTGAGACCTTTCTAATGATGTATAATACTTCATATGTTTTCTTTAAAGAAATATCGAATAGTGAGGATAGATGATGGTACCTAACCGTACTTTGTATTTTAACATTTGAATAATTTAGGGTTAATTTACATGTAGTGGATGTAGTGGACCAATATACTTACAATAAAGTAAGCAGCCAAAATAATGCATTTTGGTTAATTTGGGAGAGAATGCTTAGCTCAACTGCTATGCAATAGTCTGAGAAAGATGAGACACGAAGATTTGTTATCAAATAAAGCTCAATGATTCTAAGATTTCAGTGGAAATTTATGTGGATGTATAAACACTTCTTTCACCTTCAAAATAAAATATTCTTATGCTCGCTAGATGCTAAGGACTACAACTCATTTAACATCTCTTTCCAAAGCTGAATCTTTTTTTGACTACTACTGTTCGTGCTTCACATGGTTATATAATTTATTAAAACTCTCCTTTGATAACTTAGGTTGTTGGGTTATAATTTAACACTTGTAGCTCTGGACTGTATTAAATACTGATTTGTTTTGTATTTATTGCAGTTCTTATTACAATCACTGATTTGTCACTAAGTTATAATGAAAGAAGATATATTTATTTATTATTTATTATACATGTTGTTTTGCAAACTTTAATTTTAGAAGTGTACAATTAGTTCCATTAAAACTCAGCTACCCCACTTTTAGGGGTAGGAACCATTCCGCGTAAAAGCTCAATACCATGAAGATTGTCACTTTCATGGACAATATAATAAAACGAAAATACGTCCGAACAACTACTTGTCAAATAATAATGTCACCAAATTTATTTAATATAGTAACACAGTAATTAATATTTTTTGTTTTTTGTTTAGGATATCGAACTGGTTACATATATCGTCAACCTCTGGTCAAAGGTGAACCACCACGACCCAAGAATGAAGTTGAAGTACCACCGGCAGTCAGCTCGTTGGGATATTTGTTGGAGGAGGAAGAAATGTACAGACAAGGGTAAGTGTTAGATAAATGTCGTTAATTAAATATATATATATATATATATATATATATATATATATATATTAATACATAGTTTCTGTTTTGTATAAATACACTGCCTGAATATTTTTGGAGTATTTATTCTGTTTTTTTTTTTCAGAATCTGGAAAAAGTTAGATGGCAGGAAAGGACACGACCGTACACGTTGGTTAAACTCACCAAATGTTTACCAGAAAGTTGAGATTTTGGAAACAGGAACACCAGACCCGAAGAAGATCACCAAGGTAGAATTTATTAAATTTGAAGATAAAGAGTAAAATGTTTATTTATTTTACTTATTTATTCAAAATTAAATTATTTGTTTATCAATTCGTACAGCACTTGTAAAATAATTGACCCTTACACCGGTGATTAAAATTTACTGAAGTCTTTTATTATGATGATGAAAAAATACATAGTGTTCTTCGATTATTTTACAAGTGCTGGTTTATAATTTACAATGACTTATTTTATTGGAGCTAATATTGGAAATAAGCGTGGTTTTTGCTTTTGCAAAACTAATAGAGTGGTTTTGTTTAATGAGTTGCAAGCTAATCGTCTATCAAGCTTAGCTAAATTTCAAATTACACATCGGTGATTTTTGGACCGCTAATATTGGAAATTGTGTTCCATATTTAATTGAAAACTTCTAAACATCAAATTATTTTGAAACTCTTAAATATTTCAGAGATGATAGATAAATTTAAATAATTTGCTGTAATTGTTTTATTTTCTTAAGAATTTTATATTCAATGTTTTGTAAAATAATAATTATTATTTTTTATTAATTATTTTTATAAAATCATAATTGGAGGCTCTGAATTATTTAAAAGTTTATAAATGATTATAAAGAATAATTTATATATATACATATATATATATATATATATATATATATATATATCCTGTCTTTTACATACATCACATATTTAAAAAATAAGAGATTAAATGAATAACTATTAAATCAATATGAAATTTTTAGAAAAAATCAATTTACCACCCCGATTCTAAAATTTTATTTCTTTTCTTAGATAAGTTTTAACTAGTAGGTTTAAAATGTGAATTAACACTAATTTTTTAAGACACTTGCGCTTTACTAAAACAATTTATAGATAATAATCGATGGATATTATCAGTGCGTTTTATCGCTTAGCTAATAATAATAATTATAATATATAAGATTTTACATAGGGCAAATTTTAAATCAGTCATGAATAGTTAATATTTTATCAACATTCCTTTAAGTGAATCGAAAATATATTTATTTGATAATATAATTTATTAGGATTTTGCTGAAATTATGATTTTAAAAAATGGATTTTTTAAGATAATATATATTTTATAAAACAGATATATTTGCATGCGGTTTAGTCATAATTATAATTCGTTGTTAAAGCATTTCACAGATAGATAAAGTAATAGTAATAAAGTCATTTATAAAGTTTCTTTACATTTTTGCTCACGTTTAATGATATCGATGAAATGTTTTAATGATTTATAAAGATAAAAACAAGCCTTATCGAGTAAAAATATTATTCAGAAAGAAAAAACAGTTTATATAATTATTATAAAACAGTTGTCGACTATGGTATATCTTGGAAGAAACATGGATGTCACAGTTAGTACCAAGATTTTTCGATACGTTCATGTTACGTGTTTGTTCCGTTTTCACAATAATGATACGCAGTTACATTTCAGCTACATATAAACTTTTTTGTTCGTTAAATATTTATTCATGCGACATTCACTTATTTTTGAACTAGTAGTGCATGGCATCGTGTCTTAAGGCAATTTGCTGGAACTTTCCGTACCAAAAATTATAATTTTTAAAAAAGATTCAATTTTTTTTAGCATTTCGGAAAAAATCGATTTTTGGGATTTTTAAAATTTTTGGAGAAAATTGACCTTTTTGAAAAGATTATTTTTTTTATGCTATGATTTATTTTGGAAATTTTGAATTTTTGTTCAAAGAACTCTAAAAAAAGACGATTTTTGAGATTTTTGAAATTTTTAAAGAAAATTAATCTTTTTGAAAAATTTGATTTTTTTATACTTGGAAATAATTTGGAAATTTTGAACTTTTTTTTTCAAAACAATCTAAATACGTTAACTGCGTAAAACGAAATATCGAAGCGCATGGGCGCCGCGTCGCAGTATAACGGATAAACATTGGTACGGAACCCATAGAAATGTAAATAAAATTGATACACATTATTAAAATTTTCATAAAATATATGATAATTTGATGTGCATTTGTCTAATGATTATTTTTGCCCGCCAAATGGCATTTTTTTTACTTTTTTTTACTATATTTACGAAACCGCTAGACCTGCCTTCCCAAAATTTTATTCATTTCGTCATTTTGTCAATACAAGTGAAATGTTTTTTGAATGATTAAAATCGATCGCTCCGTTCTCTTAAAAACCGAGTTACCGTTTTTGTCACTTTTCACCCCGTATCTTCGAAAAGGCTCGACCTGCCTTTGCCAAAAACTAATCAGCACGTTTTCTTATCAATACGAATCGAATGTTTTTTGAATTATTCAAATCGGTTGATCCGTGTTCTCGAAATCGTCGACGAAAAATTGTATCCGCACACAAACACACACACAGACACACACACATACATCCATTTCTCTAAGGAATGCCAAAATGTTCAAAAACCTCTGAAACGTAAAGATATATAAAATCATTTTCCTCTTACCCTACAGGAAGTTAATTAGTAAATTTAATGTTTTTCATCGATGAGGCTTGTTTTTAAGAATTTAATATAAATATATATTTTGCTACGTTCCAAGGTTTTTCGATTAAGATTCACTTACATCGAATGAAACCTTGTTTTGTGTGTCATATAGCTAACGATGCTTTTAATAATTAATATAAAACTATAAATCTATATATATGGCATTTTTAATAAAAACTTAAAGATTAATTTACCTGAGGTGTATTACCAATTCGAGTATATTTTAATCTATGTATCGTTTATCGTTTTGGTTTTACCATTTTGTTTTCTTTTGAATTTTTTTAGTGGGTCGACACGAACGCCGAAGAGGTAATTGACGAGCTGTCGTCGTCTTCGTTAATTTTACAGACTAAGTTGTTGTTATAAATTATTTATTTATTCATCTAATCATTTCTACAGTATTCAGTATTTATCAAAGGCTGGTGTACTTCATCGTATTATTCATACTGTCATTGGAAAGAGAACACCAGGACATCTTTGTAAATATTACAGGCCTATGAAAAGTTTTTATAATCATATCACATTTTATAGCTTTTT